ACTATCACCCCCCCCCTCCCCGCCCTACTTTCCACCCGAAGTCTGGTACTTTAGAGCAGTAGCTATGAAACTGAAACTTGGGCGACATTATCCAATCGTGCACCAGGCTGGATCGTTACGACGGACGCGACATTTCTGCAGACTCATCCCCCGTCTCGTGGCCCAGTGTGTGTCATTTCCTCAAGACCCGCGCTGACATAGATCGAGATTCTAGTTCTAAATATGCCAGTTTCTGGTAGTATATTTATCCCCCCCCCCCCAAAAAAAAAATGTCCGTAGGTTTTGGCCGGCTGTTCGTCGGTTATTTAAAGGCGAGAAGACCAAACGGACCATTCTAAGTTTAGTTTTAGTAAGTGTTTTACGGCACTTGCAACACAATAAGTTCATATAAGTGCCGAAGATTAGAGGTGTTACAAGAGAGTAACAAACACAAAAAAGAAGGAGGGGAGATATGGACGATGGACGCTTGATAGGAAAGAAGAAGCAAACAACACCACAGCACCAGCCAACCACCCATAGACCATTCTAATCCATACAAATGTAGAGATATATTGTAAAACACACCCACAATATTGTGACAATATCACTGCAAAACACTTTGATCAGTAAGGGGTGTTACTTACTATTGGGTGGAAGCTTACCTAACTATAATCATGCAAGCTACAAAAATAATACAATTTTAAAGTTCCACCCTCTGGGATCCCACGGAGATTACCCCATACTAGAATCTATATGTATGTATATGATATATGCCAAACATAGACTGATACAACAAGGACATTTTCCTACACTCATAAGGCCTCTCACATAAGACAAAAACATGTAGGCCTACCAATATTACAACACACCCAAAAAAAAGTACAACATATTACATGAGATAGATGATCACAAGGGGGCTGGGATCAAAAACAATTTATTTTGTTTTTTTGTTTATAGTAGAGGTTCTACGGCACTCGAAACTGCATATAAAGTCATATGAGCGCCAGAAGATTAGAGGTGTTATAAAGAGAGTAACAAACATGAAAAGAAGGAGGGGAGATAAGGACAATAGATGTTTGATAGGAAAGAAGAAGCAAACCACACCAGAGCACCCGCCAACCACCCACAAACATTTTACAGTCACCGGTATAAAAGACAATCACTTGTACAAATGGCCACTTCCCATTTCTTTCCTTGAATCTTTTCGATTAATAAAAACACTGAAAGACGACCACCTGTCTTAAGATGGCCACTTGTCTTCTCGACTATGGGCAGCCGTCTCAGACATTTTTAACTGTGTTCGTAAATCAACATTGTGATCATGCATCAGCAATGAGACAAGAAAGAACTATTACAACAACCGTACGAGTTTCTTATATCATCTTCACTACATTATTATTATCATCATTATTCTAGACCTTACTCTATATTCTTAGTCGGCCAGTGTTGTCGATAGAGTAAAGAGTAGTCTCGTTCTCATTGCCATAGAAAGTGTAAGCATAATTTCCACAACGAGAAAAATAATACAAATATGATCTAGATCTAGTATCTCCGTTTTTCTTTTGGGAAGCAAAGGCAAAACACTCAATCAGCATATTACATAAGGCATAAGGCTTGATAAACAAGAGTTAAAGGGTCAACCTGCACAAATTTCTCAATTTTAGGTCGAAAAAAGTGTCAACCATTTACAATTAAAACACTAGGCCTCCCAACATACTCAACAAACCGCCCAAAACATTAACAAAAAGACAAAGAGATCAAACTCCTATTTATTTACCTACAAAACAGCAACAACGAGACTCTGCCCCCCAAAGAGAAATATATTTCTCATCAACCTACCAATGATTGATGAAAACTCATTTACACATCTGTCTTGGATCACTTTGTCAAAAACAAAATTATAAATTTATGTAGCCTAATGATTTTGGTGGATTGGAGTTTTTCCCAGATCTTGGAGGTGG